ATATAAGGGGGGGGGGGAGGGGAGATTAAAAAAAATGAGAAATACTGTAAGATGTTGGGTATGCACATGACATAAAAGTAATTGATGATGTAGTCTTGTTTCTATGCACGTGTGCATGTCAATGTATACCAGAAAAATTACTTACAAAATACTTGTATATACATGTACATACCACATATGTAAATGTTTAGTAGGGTATTAATTAGTTTTTCATTTTTTTTCCTGTTTTCTCTAACCCTATATATAAACCCCCCCCCCCCCCCCCCCCAAAACACACACACACATACTTAGGGATCTACTTTTGAGAACTAATGTGTCATGTATTATTTTATATAAATTTTCCATCTATGACTATAATTTAATGTAACGATTAATATGTATTTGTTTCACATGTGTACGGTTCGCAATGTAAACCTTTTTGGCGTGTTTGTGAAAAAAATACACGTGGAAATACATTGTGAACCTAATATATATGAACTAAATATATTGTGAAACAAATATGTGTTAATCAATACGTTGAATATGATATTTCAATGGAAAATAATATGAAACAAAATCTTAAAATAGAAGTCTTCATGGATCTCACAAACTTTAATGTTGTCAAACAATTAAATCCATATATATATATATATATATAACATTTGATTAGATATGCAAGAAGTAATTAATTTTTTTACAAAGGAAAATAAACGTATTTTACTTCTCTCTATCTTAAAAAAATGCATAATTTAAACCTTGACGTTTTATATTTTAATTTAAACAACAGAAAATGACAAATGAAATAACGTATATATTGTTTAAAAATTAATATGTAGGATCGAGTAAGTGCATTCACCTATGATTTCATAAAAGGAAGGATCTATCTAGGGTTCAATTTTGTGTAAATTCTAGCAATTCTTGTTATTTGTGCGTCCTTCAAAATTAAACAAACATTTGTACAAATTTAAATACGAATAACTCATGGGCCGTTTATTAAACACCAACCTATATAGATACTTATCAGTTTAATTACCTTACCAAATGAATATGACAAGAATCAAGAATCCTATCTAATAAAAAGAAAGACAAGAATCAAAAGTCTTACAACGTTTACCATCTATTTATTTTGATGGCAAAAAATATTACCTCATAAAACAAGTGAAAGTGATAGACTTTTACTATAAAGTACTAATTACCACAAGAACATAATTTAAGAAAGATTTGATGTTGATATTTTTGATGAAAAGATAGGTGAGGTGAGGTGAGGTTATAGATCCTTCTTGTAAGACCAATTTTTATTTTATTATTATTATTTTATTCAAGGGAAAAAAACTGAGCTGAACAAAGAGAAGGTAGATGATTTTTTAATGGTATGTTTTTGTTTGATTATTAATCAGCACCGGAGAAGCGACAAAGAGTGCCGTCGGCCTACAATCGATTCATCAAGTAACCATTCGTCCACCATTATTTCCATTTTTACACTTTCCATTTAAATTAGAAATATTAAAAATTATTTTTAGAAATTCAGTGATTAATTTATTCTATCAAATAATTAAATTTAAGATGTGGGTTTTGATGGGACAAAAAATGGTAAATTATACGCAGGGAAGAAATTCAGAGGATCAAAGCTAGAAATCCCGATATTAGCCACAGAGAAGCCTTTAGTGCTGCTGCAAAGAACGTACGTAATCCTCACCATTTAATTTCTCTTTAAATCTTTTAATGCAAATATGCAATTAATTATACTTTTAGCTTTACTGCAAATTACTAATTAGCTATCTCTGATTTATTGGTTTCTTATAAACTAGTTATTTTAAGATGCATAATCATTAATTTGCAATAAAATTTAAAACAAAAAAAATTCTATTATTATGATTTTATATCTAAAACTACCTTTCATCTTTTGTTTATTTAGTTCTCATTTAATTATGTCCATATATGTATAGACAAAAAGTCGTGCGAGAATAGAAGTCAAAATGAGAAATGTAAGAAATAATTTAGACTATTATTCACTTTTAATCTCAAATCAACCCATGAATTGCTATTTACAAGAAAATTGATCCATTTTACCCCATTAGTGTTGATTTAGTGTTTTTCTTCAATTACGATTCATCCTAAGATGCAGATCCTTTCTCAACATAACTTTCATTCTTACCAGAATTCAAACCCCCCCCCAACACACACATATATATATATATATATATATATATATATRTGTGTGTGTGTGTGTGTGTGTGTGTGTGTGTGTGTGTGTGTGTGGGGAGGTTCAAATGAGAACAATTTCATTTTACGAGAACGCGAAAACACCCTTATCACATTTGATAATATGCGTGAGGGGATCTTATGATGTACGGACGACGTGTTCTACGACTTAGGTCGCGCCAAAGGTTGTTTGCGTCTATGATTTAGCATCATATGTAATGGTCTTGATGAATTATAGTATCATATCAACAACAACCTTATCATATGTGACAATACTTGTGAAGGGGCTTAGTTGTGTAAGGGCGACTTGACTCGCAACCAAGATCGCATCGAAAATAGTCCGCGTCTCTAATTTAGTATCACATGTGATGAAATAAGAGTATCACATGTGATTGTCTATAGTAAAAAGGTGTTCTCGCATTCTTGTAAAATGAAGGTATTCTCGGTTTGTACTCTTCCTTATGTATATATGTGTGTGTGTGTATATATATATATATATATATATATATATAATTTGTGTATTTTCATAAATGAGTTTAGTATCTAATGCTAGGGTTGGTTGGTTTGTTTTTCCTTTTTATTTTGAAAAATTCTATTGCATTAATTTTATATTCTTCATATTAGTTGGTGTTTATTAATTTCTTTGGTTTTTACGGTTTTGAACAAATATTTGGGCTCTCGTATCATTAAGATAACTTATGTCGGTTGTACTATTAACTCTTCTTTTTATTATTATTTTTTTAAAAAAAATTTATATATCAAAAACAGAAAAAGAGTAATAATAAATATTTTCAAGAAGCAAAATGATTAATGGAAAATATTGTGTTTGCAGTGGGCTCACTTTCCACACATTCACTTTGGTCTCATGGCTGATCAGACTACTGCTGTCGACAAGAACAGCATGCGCCAACAGGTACACTGTTCACATATGGTACTACACACCAAAATCATTTTGATTTTTGTTTTATTATGTTTTCGATCCACTAAAATCATTCGATCCAATTCAAAAGACCATCTTTATTGACATCAAAATGTTCGATGATTGAAGTTACGTATCATCCGAGTCCGACTGAATTTACCTCATCAGATACGTCAATCCAAATTCATCTCACCTATATTAACTTTAAGTTGAAAACAAAACTCAAAATAAGAGAATGTAGGAATTAATGATGAATAATTGGTAATCCAAAATCTATTCAAAGATTTATGTATGAATCTATATTTGTTTACTTACCTTTTTAAGATTTATTCACATATGAAGATGCATATGTGCACCTTCATCTTTCTTTTCTTGTACCTATGAATCATTTATTGGTATATTCACAACAATTTTGCCTTTATTTTTAATGTCCCTAGCTATATATTTCATGCATATATTTAATTTGTTGTTAAATTAATTGATGCAGGAGACAGAAGGTGGTTTTATGAAAGAAAGCTTTTTTGCTTCTGCAAATGTTGGTGTCTCTCCATATTAGCTACCATCATCTTCCTCTCTCTTGGAACTTTTTTTGTAAACTTAAATCAGTTAGCCTTCTTTATTTGCTTGTGCCTTTCAAATTCTAATGCACTTTTTATTTTTATTTTTTTTAATGCATGAAATTTTTGTGTTTATTTGGCCATCTATTGGACATATTTAAAGGGAGGGATTCAAACGAGAAAGTTTAAACGACTTAGCGTGATTTGTTGTCACGCTCATTAAATTATGGACCCATAAGGCGCGATGTAGTTAATTTCACGTATAAAATGACATACAAGAAATATGATTGGATTTAAAATATACATGTGTTCATTATTCAAAGATTATATGCATTTTTATCTTCATGGGGGAATTTTGTATTCATATATGAATTGGAGTGGGCAAAATTTGGTATAGAATTGTAAAACCAATAAACCATGATATTAGAACTTCACTAGAACCGTATTTTAGTTTGGTACATTACATTAGAATTGGGTTTAAAAGGACGCTTGAAAGTGTCCTAATATAATGATTTATATGAGTGAAGTTTATTGTGTCAAACAATGAATCGTCACATTTAGAAGTGCTATAATAGGTTTATGGATGATTTTGGACGATTTAACAATCCTAAGTTGTCTTATACGAAAGACACCTAGTTTTACGACAGGGTGCCACTACTACAAGAAAGAATATTATAAATGATTGTTTGTTTTCGGATTTATACATGGTTTTGCAACTGTATATAAGCCTTGTGTTATGAAAGTTTCCGACATTTATACGTGGTTCTAGAATTGGGTATAAAAGATACCATTTTACACAGTTCCAAAATCGTTTATAAAGCCCCTATTAACCGTTTATAGAAGTGTCCATCTTCCACAGTTTCTTGTTGAAACCGTGTACAATTGTAATAATCTTACACAGTTTCGTAACAAAACTGTGTATAAATGTACCCATTTGCAAAAAAATGCAAACATTTTTACACGGTTTCTTTACTAGAAGCGTGTATAATGTGCCCGTTTACCAAAACTACAGACATTACACATGAATTTCTTTATAAGAACCATGTATAATCTATATATATATATATATATATATATATTAAAAGAAGAACCAAGAGTATTGAGATGATATCATGAGGATTAAGTATTGAGGTGTTGGTAAATTGTGGTTGATTTTGATATATCCTACATTGGTGAAGAGTTGAAAGATTTGAATAAGATGAAGTGCATAAGAAAGGTGGATTGGATGTCTTTGTTGTCAAATAATGGGGTTTGCCTCATAGGGTTGTCTTTCTTTGGATGACCCTCTTTGAAATCTATAACCATGGTTGGAAACCAAACAAACCAATCTATATATATATATTAAAGGAAGAACCAAGAGTATTGAGGTGGCATCATGAGGATTAAGTATTGAAGTGTTGGTGAATTGTGGTTGATTTTGAGATATCCCATAGTGGTGAAGAGTTGAAAGATTTGAATAAGATGAAGTGTATAAGAAAGATGAATTGGATGCCTTTGTGTCAAATAATAGAGTTTGCCTCATAGGGTTGTCTTTCTTTTGATGACCCTCTTTGAAATCTATAACCATGGTTGGAAACCAAACAAACCAAATGGTAGAAATTATAGCGCAAAATTAATATATATATATATATATATATATATATATATATATATATATATANTTTGAGATATCCCACATTGGTGAAGAGTTGAAAGATTTGAATAAGATGAAGTGTATAAGAAAGGTGGATTGGATGCCTTTGTGTCAAATAATAGGGTTTGCCGTTTGCCTCATAGGGTTGTCTTTATTTTGATGACCCTCTTTGAAATCTATAACCATGGTTGGAAACCAAATAAACCAAATGGTTATAGATTTCAAAAAGGGTCATTAAAAGAAAGACAACCTTATCAGGCAAACACCATTATTTGACACAAAGACATCCAATCCACCTTTCTTATACACTTCATCTTATTCAAATCTTTCAACTCTTCAATAATGTGGGATATCTCAAAATCAACCACAACTCACCAACACTTCAATACTTAATCCTCAGAAATTATAGTGCAAAATTAATTATATTATATTATTATATCTTTATATATATATATATATATATATATATCAAAGGAAGAACCAAGAGTATTGAGGTGGCATCATGAGTATTAAGTATTGAGGTGTTGGTGAATTGTGGTTGATTTTGAGATATCCTACATTGGTGAAGAGTTGAAAGATTTGAATAAGATGAAGTGTACAAGAAAGGTGGATTGGATGCCTTTGTGTCAAATAATGAAGTTTGCCTCGTAGGGTTGTCTTTCTTTTGATGACTCTCTTTGAAATCTATAATCATGGTTGGAAACCAAATAAACCAAATAAACCAAATGGTAGAAATTATAGTACAAAATTAATTATATTACATTATTATATCTTTATATTTATATAAAAGTAAAATCTCTCTCAATATATATATATATATATGTGTGTGTGTGTGTGTGTGTGTGTGTGTGTATGTGTGTGTGTATTGAAATTTCACTAATTATATTTTATTTAACTTTTTTCGAATTATTTGAATACTATTTGCTGATGATTTTATTAACAACTAATATATATATATATATATATATATATATATTAAATGAAGAATCAAGAGTATTGAGGTGACATCATGAGGATTAAGTATTGAGGTGTTGGTGAATTGTGGGTGATTTTGAGACATCTCACATTGGTGAAGAGTTGAAAGATTTGAATAAGATGAAGTGTATAAGAAAGGTGAATTGGATGTCTGTGTCAAATAATGGGGTTTGCCTCATAGGGTTGTCTTTCATTTGATGATCCTCTTTGAAATCTATAACCATGGTCGGAAACCAAAGAAACCAAATGGTAGAAATTATAGTGTAAAATTAATTATATTATATTATTATATCTTTATATTTATATAAAAGTAAAATCTCTCTCTCTTATGTGTGTGTGTGTGTGTATTACAATTTCACTAATTGTATTTTATTTAACTTTTTCGATTTATTTGAATACTATTTGTTGATGATTTTATTAACAACTAATATATATATTTATATAAACAATCTTCAGATCATTAATCAAAGTACTCATACTACCGCGCAACGCGTGGTTCCCATACTAGTGATAATGATAATGATATATATAGGTTCATTTGAGTAGTCAAAAGTATTAGAGAAGTAAAGAAGTGATCTTAGTCTTTCATTTGGTCAATATTTGT